GGCGATGTCTTTTGGGATTTGTGATGGGGTGGGAGTTTGAGTTTATGGGAAGGGTATTCTTGGTTGCTCGTTTCACTTGCAGCGCAGTGAGGTGGTTGCTTGTGGGGAAGTTGAACGGGGAAAATGAAAAGAAACCATGCAAGTCTTGGAAATTTTGGTAGAGAGTGAGTGGGGAGAGCTTGTAACCTAGTCTTTGATATTGGATATGTTTTATATTCAGATTGATGTTGGAAAATTTGCCGGCGATGCGGTATGGTCAATTTTTTTCTAATACACAAATATATATTTAAATGATGATAATTTAAAAGCAGCCATATTAATTTGATTAATTTATGATTTGGGATAACATTGGAGAAAAAATATGAAAAAAAAACTTAGAATCTAAAAATCTAAAGTAAAATAATAAAATAAAAAATAAAATAAATTAGATTATTTTTAAAATCAGTAACTTTAATCGTGAAATCAATATGAACATGCAAAGAATAAAAAAAATCTTAAACAAAATTTCTAACCATGAAAAAATAATAAAAAATAATAAAAACCAGATTTAATACAACAACTAATGAAATAAAATAAAGAGGGATTTAAATGAAAAATAAAATTAAAAATATAAAAAATAATAATTAAATTAATCATTATCAATACTAGATAAAAAAATAAAATAAAATATAGAAAGATAAAATTAAAAGAAAACAACATAAGAAAATGATCGGAAAAAATGAACAACTAGAAAAAAAGAATTAAATTAAAAAAAAAACTAAGAGAATATGTACTATATCTAGTATTAAAATGAAACGAAATCAAATAAAAATGAATTAAATTAAAAAATCAATATGAAAAATCCAAAGAAGAAAGGATCAATAAAAAAAGAAATGTGTTGTTTTTTTTTTCAATAGCATATAAGTAATTATATTGCGTGATAAACATGTGAAAATCCAATTTCACCTCTAAGTATATATATTTATTTTTTTAGATACTGAAGAGCTTATTAGTCGTTTAATCCATGATGTATAATCCACAATAAAATAAAATATCGATGAATTTTAGTTTTATATGTAACTGTAATATTGGTGAAAAAATTTCCTCATGTTGCTGCATATGGGCAATTTCATTTATTCCGTGAATCAAGTCATCGCTGACCGAATAAAGGTGAGTATACCGCTCGATGCATGGTAATTAAATTACCCTTCCACTATAAAACTACCACTGCTGTTATTATCGTTGAAAATCTAAACTTATGAGATTTTTTACTCTGGATAAGGACACTTCCTATTCCGGGAAAGTGCCGTCCTGGCCGTACAACTTCCCACGTGGCCCTGTTCTTTTACATTTTCCACGTTATTTTCTTTGAGATAAACAAAATATATATTGATCTTGGAAATATAATGCCCATTAATAAGTGTAAATTCTCGGCGGACTTCTCGCATAATTTTTGCTGTGTTTGTATGTTACAAGGATTTCTACACCAAGACAATAATCAATTTTCAAAATTCTTAATTTTTTTAATCATTTATCATGGTTTTTTGTTTAATTTTTTTATTCAAATGAGTGATGAGTTTTTAATTTCAAAACAAATAAATTGCAGTATGACTTATAATAAAAAAATTTAAATTATTAAAATCATTTTTTAACCTTGACCGGGGTCCATGTACCTGAACCAAGAGTTATCCAGAACTAATTCAGCAGTCAGCATACTTAAAATGTATTTTGGATAGTTAAATTCTTCATCTTAATTTTGAAACCAGTATTTATGAAAATTTACCTGTTATGATTTATTGGACCGACATGGAAGACAAGTTCTTCATTTAAAAAAAAAAACAATAATTTATTTTCCGTACAGTTTTATTTGAAGATATTGAAAGGAAAAAATAGCACACCTGAGCAACTTTTACAAATTAATGCGAGTATTTTTGGTAATGCACCTTTCTACACCTTTCTATTATTTTTTAATGGTAAAAGGTACTTTTCAGCTGCTGTTTTTATTTTTATTTTTATTTTTTGTTTACTTTGGCATTTAGCGTCTAGATGACAACGTCTACTTAGAAAAAATTGAATTGTTAATACAGCTTTTTAAATAGTATAAATATGTTTTTTTTTACGAGCAGTCCAACGGGAAAAAAAAACAAGAAGCTGTCCTAACAATCCATTTATATTTTGATATATTTAATATCAATGTTTTTGTTTTTTAAGAAAAACATTGAGAAAGGTCATGGAAATGAAAGAGTTTTTTTTTAAATGACATATTTTAATGTTCCTGTCTGTTTTGATAAATATTTAATAATAACTATTTTTTTGTTGGAAAATCATTTTAATTATTCATCTGAAGCTATCAAATCAAGGAAAGAAAACTAGAAAAATTAGCTTTTTATTTTTGGTTCTTCATCAGCCTCTCTCACTGGATATACCTTTAAAACTAGCTTAAAATATTTTAAAAAATATCAATTTAATATTTTTAAAATAATATTTTGAAATGACCACTTGCAGATAAATTACCTCCAGACTTAGAGTATTTAATTTGATGATATAATATTTATGTTTTCCCAGTACTTACGAGCATGAGCATAAACATCAATATTTATGGGTTTCTCTCCACACTACCTCGATGAAAAGAGAAAATTGAGATTTATTGGAAAAAAAAGAGAAGGCAATGAACTCTATACAACGCCCCCAACATAGAATACTAACCTTTGCTTTTATTTTTCTGGAACGGTATTATACCGATTATGTTTGCATATTATAACTTTTAAAGTTATTCATACTCTGTTTTTACATCTTAAAATACTTTTAAAAAATTTAAATTTTTTATTTTTATCTATTTCAAATTAATATTTTTAATATTTTCATGTTATTTTAACGTGCTAATATTAATAATATATTTTTTAAAAATAAATCTTAATATCAAACTATATTTCAACACAGTTAAAAAATCATTATTAATTTAAAATACATAGCTAAATACAATTCTTTTCCAAATACTTGAAATCAAACACTTAAAAAATCCAAACTAATTCAAAGAGTTGATTCAACAACTAAACTAGTTTAATTTTGTTAAAAAATAGAGGATGGAGTTAACATGAGTGTCCACGTCAAAATTTCACTAGTTAATTAATTAAAGCTTAATCATGTTTTCTATATTTTAAATTAATATAATATTATTTTTATTTTTTTAATTGTTCCCTTGTGACTAGAGTAGGTTTTACAACTTTATAAAATACAATAATTTTTATAAATTTTAATCCATTTGGTTTGCTTTTAATGAAGAGATAAAGATAAAAATAAGAAAAAGAAAATTATAAATTAAAATATTTTTATGATTTTAAGGAAATCTTGAATTTTATTTCCTCTCTCGTCCCTGTATTATCACGCACCATAGATTTTTCCCACGAATGCGAACACATTTTTATTCTAATATACTCGTTGACTTTTTTAATCTAGAACATGCACGAATATAAATATGTTAAATTGTTAATCATCTAATATGGTATTTTATCTACCTGTAACTATTTCAGCGCGTGGCAAACAGCAAATCTTGACGTCCGTTTGATGATACCATTGATTTGCAAGATCCTGGTCTCCTCAGCGTCAACGGTTATTCACACCGTCACACGCACAAGACTGACAAGAGTCCACACTACATCAGCCGCCCAAAACAAAATAATATCTTCCGTAAACTTGTTTTTGCCCCTATATATTCATTAAAATTCCACTTATACCCTTATATTTAAAAACTTACCATGCAGCAGGTAATTCCAAAAATTACAGTTCCACTCGCAACTTTTCCATTTTTTTCTGTCTTGGCTCGTGTTTGAAATGTTTTCATACGACCTCCTCCAGGTGACTGGAAGTATTCCATAAAATTATAAATAGAAACTTTTAAAATATTTTTTATGTATATTTGATTATAAATAGAAACTTTTAAAATATTTTAAAAATATTTTTTATGTATATTGGATGAATAGAATTTTAAGTAATTTTTATTTTGTATTTTGGATCTTCGACTAATTTTCATTTTATAAAATATAATTACAAATATATCTTATCTATTTTTAAAGTATTTATTTTAAGTGAGTGCTTTGAATCACTATTCAAGATGTCTATATATTCTAACGGACAAAGATTATAAAATGAATAGATTTTTTATATGAAAAAAATCCAAAATAAAATTTTTATTAGCGATTCCAAGCATGGTTATTAAGGTTAGGTTGCCTAGTAGATCTACTTGGTAACAGGAAGCCTAGTTTATTCTATTCATGTCTGTTTTAAAATTATATTGAGGGTTGATTTAGTTAAATTACAATGTTTCAATGGGTCAGCTTGGAATTTGATTGACTTGCATAAATTAATATAAAATAAAACTAGATCAATTTTAAGATTTTTTTTAATTTTTATTGAAAATAACATTGTTTTAATTTTTATTTTTTAAAATTTATTTTAAAAAATAAAAATAGCTTTGTATTATAATTTATCCTAATTTAAAAAATAAAAACTATATCAACTATAAAAATTTATCCTCAAGTATTTAGGAGTGTGTTAGTGATTATTTTTTAAAATATTTTTTATTTTAAAATTATTTTTAACTTTAATATATGAAAATTATATGAGAATATAAAAGAATAAAAATTTAAAATAAAAAATAATTTTTTTTTAATTTTTTTTTGAAATATAATAACATATACTTAATCAAATTTTTTTCAAAATATTTTTAAAATATAATACCATATACTTAATAAGTGTGATTTGGTTTGGGTTGATAATTATGATTTCAAGGTTAGTAACAAAAGTAAAAACAAATAAATTAAAAATTTAATAAATAAGGGTTGAAATTGAAAGTTATTACATGAAGGGTGCGAAACTGAAGTTTCCCCTAATATATAGGCTTACCCCATTACACGCGCAATCCTACTTGGCGTACCGCTCATGGGCCCCACCAAACTGACGCCACCCTCACTCACCTTCCTCTTCCTGCATATAAAAACCCACTCGCAATCATCAACAGACACTCATAACTCATAAAAAATTCGGGGGAAAAAAAAACTCTCTCTCTAACTATTTCCATGGCCTTCGCTAACAGTTTCCTCTCTTCTTCTTCACCCTCTCAAATTCCTCATGGATCTAAATATTTCAATTTTATTCCTTTATTCATTTCTCCTCACGAGCGGTCCGCTTTCACTTTCTCTCCGATTCGTAACAAATTTTCCGAGCTTGGAATTGGAGTAATCGGTTCCTCGAGGAAAAAGTAAGCTCTAAAAGTCTCCGATTCTCTAGTCTTCCCTGTTTGGATACACCGACACTGGTTTCCGAGAATCTGTTACTTCCTGTTAGCTTCATTTTTTTTCTCGTCGTTTTTTTTTTAATATTTTTATACTGATTCCAGCGGTCTGTTTGGTTACCGAGAAACATTGAGATTTTCTTTAATATACAGTTTGGAGTTTTTTTATGTTTATAGAAATTTAAAATTGAAAGCAAGTGACAGTGGATATTTTTATTAGTTTTTTGTGCTATTTTTCCACTCTAATAAATTTAGATATAAATATCAAAGATTCAGTTATCAATCTGTTACTCCCTTTCTTTATCTGCGTTTCTGCGTCTTTTTTAAACTCATGAAAATACGATAATCTTTAAGTTGTTTTTTAGCTGATCGGAAATTTGTGTTTCTCGTTGCTTATCGATGATTGAGTGTTATGCAGGAACATTTTATATGCTTCGGTCAATGATTTGAATGCATCGGCAAGTTCAGCCTCACTGGTCAGCTACTTTTTTCCTCCTGCCATCTCGTGCGTGGAATGTAGTTTTATCTATTTTATTGTTGATTGCCCTGAGATATTATTGAATGAATTTAAATAGGGTAATTAGTATAGCATTGTCATCATGTAAGCAGGATTGTATTTGATACATACATATATGTTGTTTATAGGATTGATTAATTGTTGAAGGAAACAGTAACAGTTCCTGCAAGTGGAATTTATTGTGATAAATGTCCTGTGTGGTCAATGTTCCTCCAGGTGAAAGTGAAAATAATGTTGATAATTCTCACCGCAGTCATGATTTTCTGGATTTTTTTCTCTGATTGGAAAAATTGTGATTCGGTTAGGGGATATTGATGTCTATTCCCTCTATATACTGTTTTGCTAGCTTGGTGGTTTTTATCCACGGGGCTTACAAAAGAAGTTCGATAAAGGCATTTTTACATGGTTTGGCAGGTTGAGTTATTACTTGTCTTGGGGGTTAATTTTTTAATCCTGGTCTTTATTTGATGAAATTTATAAGCATGGACTAATAATAGTTTCTGCAATTCATCAAAACCAGGAGTTTTTTTTTTTTTTGGTATTTTCAACTCAAGTATATTGTTTCTGTGAGTTTTGAGTGTCCAATTGAACTCTTCATCACTCGGACCATGCTGTCCAATCAAGATCGCTATGAAATAGTTACTGTAGATAGAGTTCAATATCAGATTTTTCATGCTTGCGTGTGTGAATGAAACATTTGGAACTGAGAAGTTGACTTACATATGTTTATAATCGGTAGCAGAAATGTATGCAATAGTTCACAAGTGGCTTTAGAATTTGCTGCAAAATTTACAAGTTAACAGTAATTGCAGAAATCCGAGCAGGATGCTGATTCGGTTCCCATGCCAGTAGTTCTGATAGATCAAGATTCAGATTCTGACGCAACAATTGTGCAACTCAGCTTTGGAGATCGTCTTGGAGCTCTTATTGATACGGTGAAGTAGTTTTTTTATCTGACTCTGTCCTCTTTGGTCTTGAATATTTTTAGTCCCAACACTGCCGACATCAAAATGAAAGTGCAGGCTACACGTAAGATGGTTAGCCTCCTCTAATCCCAAACCCACCACCATCACATGGTTGGCCTTTTGATTGTGTTTCATGTGAGGATGGGCAGTAAAGGTGTCATGTAAATGATCTTTCAGTTTTCTTATTATTATACATGAGATGGGAGTTATCGCCTTAAAGGGTGAATTTTTTTGAAGATGAGGCGGCCTGGAAGCAGCCTCTGAGCTCAATTTCCTTGAAATGCCAGAAGAGACTTGCTTCTGAGGCAGTGTAATCTTCATATATATTGAAAATGTAGTTATTGTATATCAGAATTCAACAAGCAGAGGTGCTCCAATTGCTTTGATGATTATTGACCAAAGCCACTGCTTAACGTTAGTCTCGTGTATTTAGGACCATCAGGGGTACCTTCAAATGCCTGCATATGATTGCTATTTTCAAGAAGTAAAAATATGCATTTGCCCTCATCTAATATCAGATGTGCTGCTTGAAAATATTTGGAGGTTTTGTAACTTGTTTTGTTCTGTCATGGGACAGATGAATGCCCTGAAAGATTTGGGATTGGATGTGGCAAAGGGAACTGTTCTCACTGATGGACCAGTCAAACAAACTAAGTTTTTCATTACACGATTGTGAGTTTTCTTTTGAAATATATTTTGCCCCTGTAATTGGATCAGATATTACCCTGTGTTAATGTTTTACTGGAAGTCTTAGCATTTAGAGATTGATCTTGGTAGGGACACTGGTCGCAAGGTTGAAGATCCAGATATGCTAGAGAGAATTCGACTTACCATCATCAACAATCTTTTGAAGTACCATCCAGTATGTATGCTGAATTGATACCTTGTTCTATCACTTTCTTCTTCCTCATCTTTTCTCTCTTTTTTTGGCCTTTTATGGGTAGATATTAGAGATATTTCTGTTATATTTTCTTTACATTTCTCATGGTGATAAATTATTGTTTCTTTGCCTTCTTGCTAGGAATCTAGTGAGCGACTTGCTATGGGTGAGGCTTTTGGAATAAAAGCTCCAGAGAAAAAGGTGCTTCTATACCAGTCTCTTTGTGCGTGTGTGATTATAATTGAGAGCAGGATGTCATGAAAGCTTATTTTTAGCTTAATGAACTTCTTGACAGATTGATTTGGTTTGTTTTATCCTCATCTGATCATATATATTTTGGATATTTGCATCACATAGGCCTGTCTGCCATTGCAACAAGAAGAGCTGCCCACGTGTGCTAAATCAATCACACACACACACTAATATTGTTTTATTTGGTGCACATATATGCTAAATATTATTAAAGTTTGCCATGGAGAGCCAACTGAAGCATGAAGCTTCCAGTTTGTGCACCTGTTTGCTTTGACGTTTATAATTTGTCCACATATTGAGTAACTGTTGTGGTGTGCCCTGCATTATATTCTAGCAAAGTTCAATTGCTGTTCAGCTATCAAACCGTAGGGTATTTATGCTTTCTGGTTGCAGTTGGCATGCTATTAAGTTATGTTGTACAGACGCTTCTCTTATTTTAATTGATTAATATGGTGTATTTGCTTCTGTCAGGTTTGGTTATTGCATTGATTGAAGTATATATTCTATTGAATCTCCACCATCAGCATCTAAATCAAGTTTTTTTTGGTGAAGATCTGTTCTTAGATCAGTAGATGCCTTGCATGTGCTACAGTAGACTTTACAAAATTTGAATTTATATTCACAATTTCCTTTATGGCAGCTTGATGTTGATATTGCAACTCATGTGCATGTCAAAGAAGACGGACCTAAGAGGAGGTTTGCTTCTGTTTTAATGTTTATTAGTATTCTGATTCACAAGTTATACGTGCTTCTTTTAATTTTCATCTTTAATAACCCACCATTTGGGACAGATTAAATTGAGAGTTTTTTTTTAATCAGCTTGCTCTGCATCGAGACAGCAGATCGACCTGGATTACTTGTAGAAATCATCAAAATCATTGCTGATGTCAATATTGAAGTCGAATCTGCAGAGATTGATACAGAGGTCTCTCTCTCACTCACTTGTTCTCCCCAATCTGATGCACACACACCATCGAGTGAATCTTAGTTTTGCTTTCTCTTCTAATTAACTTATCTTTGTCATCTCACAGGGACTAGTTGCCAAAGATAAATTTCATGTCAGCTACAGAGGTGCAGCATTGACCAGCTCCCTGTCTCAGGTAATTAGTTGGGTTCCAACTATGGTTGTTCGATAATTATGGAGTAAACATTTTCTTGGTGTATGTATAGATTCTGAATTCTCTTTCCCTGTTTTCCTACAATTGTAAAGTGAATCCTACAATTAATTAATATATGAGCTCATCTTCTAGTCTGTACAAGAACGTGCTGTATCCTTACAAAACTAGATTAATTTAAGATCCTATGCATGGTTTACTTTCAATTTCATAATGATGTATACCACTTTATTCACTTTTTTTTTTTTTGAATCTGCAGGTCCTAGTGAACTGTTTGCGTTACTTCCTTCGGAGGCCTGAAACAGATATTGATAGTTATTAGTACCAGAGGTTAACCGCCATTCTCGATTGTAGCCCCAATTTAACGTTTCACGTACCACATCACCTTTGAGCTCATGTTTCTTTTACCTGTGAATTGTATGTTTCAAGATATTATGTGATCATGTTCCATAACTGCAAGCTGGGATGTTCTGAAAAGATGCTTGTAACCATGCTATTGTCCACCTTGGAAAATGGGATCAAGCCGATTACTAAAGAAAAAACATGGAATGTTGAAACCAATAATTCATGCTCGTTGTTTTGCTCCTTTCTATATTTCTGGACTAAGTGTCTAGCAGATGGCTTAAGGTTGGCGAGTCGATCTAAAACCAACAACCCGGGGTTGGTGGGTTGGGTGACCCATTAACCTGTTAAACTACGTGGGAGGATGAAAGAAAAGATATTGTTTTAACCTTGAGAAGATGTTCAATTATGATCTCAGTTTTAGGTTAGACCGGGTTTTATGACCTTGATTTATTGTTCAGGACAGCGTTTTCTCTAGACCAAGATCCTCGTAAGACATGCATGGTATTGCTGGTAATGAGGGGCTGTATTTACTTTATTTTCTTCTTCTTAATGTAGCATCTGGAGCACAGCACAGGGATTAGTGGAAGAATGGAGTAATGTTGTGTCTTTGGATATACGTTCTCTGTAATGAATCTAAGCTCCCTAGAACAGCTCATTATCCCATCTTTTAACCAATTTAACCCCAAAAAACATAGCCAAAAGTAAACACTCTTTATGATAGCCAACTAGTACTCTTTCCCTTAGCAATCAATCAGACTTCGTTGTAAAGAAAAGGTGCGGATCCACACCATTATGTACGTGAACGAGCAAATACTCATTCTCTACCACTGATATTATACTTGGTTTTCAGTCTTGAACAGTCCATGTATAGTACATTTTGCTTACTGTTCTATTGTGAGAAGCCCATCTTTGGAGTCCTTTAAACACTATTTCTTCTCCTGATCCAGGAGAAAAGAGTGCTGTAAAACATATAAACAATGGCCTTAATGGTGGCAGTCTTATTTGCCATTCTCTTTCAAGGTTATGTGTGCTTGGCTTCCGATCCTGATCCAGTTCGTGACTTCTGCATAGCCAATACTGATTCTGCAACCAACATCCCCCGCAAGAACTCATCAGATGCCACAGTGGAGTTTTTCATATTTTCTGGGATCAAATCTCATGGAAAATTCAGTGAAACGGGGCTAGCATCGATTCCTGTCAACGTGAATAACTTGCCGGGCCTGAACACACTAGGCATGTCACTTGTTCGTGCAGATTTTGAAGCTGGTGGTGTCCATGTGCCTCATTTCCATCCGAGAGCAACAGAGGTTGCGTATGTGCTTGAGGGGAAAATTTATTCAGGATTTGTCGATACGCAGAACAAAGTTTTTGCTGAAGTGTTTGAGAAGGGTGAGGTCATGGTGTTTCCATAGGGTCTCGTACACTTCCAGATGAATGTTGGAGATAAATCGGCAGCTATTGTGGGCAGTTTTAATAGCGAAAATCCTGGATCGATGAAGATTCCTACTGCGGTATTTGGATGTGGAACCAAGGAAGAGCTTTTGGATAAGGCTTTTGGGTTGAAGGGTAAGGACATCTCCAAGGCGAGGAAGAAGTTTCTTTCGTGTTAGAAAGACTGAAGACTAGCTGTTGCTCGATCTGAGGTTCAACGGATTATGAAAAAACATGTAATGTTGAAACCAGTAGTTCCTCTCTCAATCTGATCAATAAGGGCTCTCAAACTTCACAATGTTAAGAATCGAAATGCTTGGTAGAAATAATTTTGGCGGATCCTCAGAGATTATACATAAACTCGTTGAAGAATTGATTAACGTTGTATCTTTAGATCCACGTTTTAATTTCCATAATGAATCAAATCAAAGCCTCTTGGCACATCTCATCCCATCTCAATGATAGATTAGCCAACTAATGATGTTTCCCTTTTGAATCAATCAAACTTCACTGTCACGAAAAGTTGCGAATCCAGTTCAATAAGTAGAGGGGCAAAGACTTGTTCTTGATAGATTTTGCATGCGGACACCGAGACGAGCTTACGTTTAAAGAGTAAAAATATATAAAAATTGTTGCTATTTATTTTTACAGTAATTATAAATTTTAATTAATTTATAAAGATTCTGGATAAGAATCTGGTTATGTAATAAAGAAGATAGACCTCACTTTATATATCCTATTAAAGATAAGCTATATTATTATTTACTTTTAATGATAAAAAATGTTAAATGTGCTTTTATACTAATGTTTCTACCAATAATGATTTATTTACATGCTGACAAAAGGGTTAAATATAATGAGTTAGATATTAGATTGAAGATTGAACTTTGTAATTTTATGTTTTGATTTGTTTTTTTCACTTCTAGTTATTATTTTTGGATAATATTGATGAATTGACAGTTCTAAAATTAATTATCTAATTATAACCTATGACTTATTATTAATCAAACTATGTTAGTGAATTGATCCAGTAGGCCTACTATGGAGACTCAAATTCTAGAGAAGTTTCATGTAAGGAGTCTCAATGAGATTATCTATTTTATGGTACTTAGTTTCACTAGCAATATTTGATAAAAATAATTGTTGTTGCATCCCAGTCCTTGATCATTTATTACTTATTCTACTTATGATACTCGTGATATAAACTAGTGGATTCATTGTTAATGTTACTGATTTTGTCATTAATGAATATTATACTAAAACATTTATTATTTAAATTTAAGAAGAGATCAGAAGATTTAAAGTCATATTAAAAAGATAAATTTTTTTAGTTTAAATACTTTAAAATAAAAAGAAAAAATAATATATTTTTAACATAGAATAATTTTTTTTTAAACATGTATACTCTACGTACAAATGAATTGTTTATTAATTTTTTCATAGATATTAAAACTCCAATTTATTTTTCTTGATTTGACTCAAGAACCAATTCCTTAGCCAGGTCAACACATACTGGCTTGATTTAGAGATCTTTACAGAGTAAGCTAGCAAAGTCGGGTAACTCTTTTGTAGAACTGGACCATAAAACCTCATGGTCAAATTTGAGATTGACCCAGCTGTTCGTGTAGAAAGTTATGAACTCGCCCATCAAGTTAGTTATCTAGAGTGTTTAGGCCTCTTTTTAAGATCGGACTTGTCTGTTGATTCATGAATATAGTTGTGAGGCAATACACAAGTTCCAGTTACAGCAGGTCCTTAGCTTGCATCAGCTCCTGACCCCATCCAGTCCAAGACTTCTGCATAGCCAATATATACAGGTTCTGCAACTAACATTCCATGCGGTAATTCATCACTTGCCACAGTAGAAGATTTCATATTTTCCGGGTTAAAATCTCACGGAAAATTCCAGCAAGTACCGTTCCTGTCTAGGTGCGTTTGCTCGAACTTATTTCACCAGATTAACATGAATCTCTGTCAGTTATCCTTGTGAAGACTAAGAACAGTGTGAGAAGTAATTTAAACATTGGATTTTAACAGGTTATATCAAGCTAATATGGATTTTTTTTGTTTCAGCACTTGTTTACCAAACACTAGATCTAATTCTACAGATTTGATGGTTGAAAGGGCTGGGTGCCCTTGACAAGCGGGCGTGTAGGCCATGCATGCATTCACATAAATGGTGTTGTTTTTCTATAGAAGACATTGAACGCAAGCAAGCTTGCTGGAGATCTCGAGACCCTCACCATTTTACTTCTTGCATCTTTTCTTGGCCAAAAGCATGACCTCCCCTTTAGTAACCTCCTTGCTTGCCATTCAACATTGGTTCGGATATGACGGTGAAGGCAATTCCTTTCTCGTCCAAGAAAAAAAATCATCCATTACAAGACCTGTCCCACATCGGATCGGTGAAAAAACTTGATTTTATTTACTGAAAGAGATTTAAGGAAAAATAAAAAATTAGATAAATTATAGAAAATCCACTCGACTCAGCAACCTAGGTTTTAAGCCCTAATTGATCACCAAGTCAAGTCTTTGGTTAGTATTTACGAAGAACATACAAAATAAATAAAATATATTTGATTGAAAAAAATATTTATAAGATAGTTTTGAAATGGATTTTATATAATTTTTTAAACAGTAAATGCAAGAGAATATGTTGCTGTCCCTAAACGGCAACGATGAAGTTTTTTATTTTGTACCCGAAGGCCCTATATTAATGTGCCTTTTAGTCAGCTAAGTAGCCCATGATTTCAGCCCATAATTCAAGCCCACCTTTGTACAATTTCCCCCCTTAAATTCCGTCCCTATAAAAACCAAAATCCTTAAACCCTAACCCCTTCTCGTCTTCTCTTTGCTTCATTCGAAAATGGCGACTTCAGAAATGGTGATTAAGGACATGTACGACGTCGGATTGAAACCTCGTATGATCCGTACGCTTCTAAAAGAAGATGTCCCTGACGATACAATCCCATTTGATTCTCCATCCAAACTCTCCCGTATTATTTTCTGCATTCAGTCTCACAAACTCTTATCAGAGCCTTCAATCACTGACAACAACAAACAAATCGAACGGTGGAAGTCCTCCGTCGATGATTGGGTCGCTCGCTTGTTGTCTCTTATCAGCAAAACCACCACCACACCAGATAAATGCTGGGCTGGAATTTGCTTGTTGGGTGTGACGTGTCAAGAGTGTAATGCCGACCGGTTTCTGGGGTCTTATGCTGCTTGGTTTGATAAAATGTTGACGCATATTCAGGTATTGCAAGAAGAATTTTGAACTAAAGTTGGTAATTTTGAAATGGGGTTTCTGGTGTTTTTTTTTCTTAATATTTTGAGAAATGAAAGAAAATGATACTTGTTTGAATGTCAAATAAATGATCTTTAGTTCAGCCTTTACAGTTTGGAGCTTTTAATTTAGTTTTTTCGATGCTAATTTTACTGAAAGATTCTTCGCAAAAGCATGTCCTGGGAATTTTATCCGTTGTATGAGTGGATGCTGTTGGTGGGTGCTTCTAATCCACTTCAGGATGTGGTATTGGGGAAGGTTTTTGTAAAATCAGTGTTGTTCTTAAAGAAAGACTTGGTTGTGCTTGGAACTTTTAATTTGATGTTGGAATTGTTATGTTTATGTTTTAAACAGTCACGAGGGGATTCTCAGTTTGTGAAGGTGGCTGCTTGTACCTCGATATCGGATTTGATCACAAGGTAAAAAACTATAAGCCCTTTTTGAGAGGTCTGGACTTGATTTAGTTAGTGCCACTATTGTTATTGTTATAAATTGTGAAGATATTGTCTTTGATGAAATAGGTTGGCGGGATTTCCAAATGTGAAAAAGGAGGGGACTTCACTTGCTGGAAAAGTCATTCAACCTGTTTTAAAGCTGTTGAGTGAGGATAGTTCAGAGGCTGTATTGGTGAGCTGGGTTCTTAATTCATTACACAACAAGTTTTGCATTCCTGAAAGCTAATTTATTTTAGTTTTATTTTTTTTCAAGTTGGTCAATGGTGTCCAATTCTTTCTGCTGCCAGGGCATTTTCCCTTCCTCCAACATAATTTGATGCTTTTCTGTTGAGACCTGTGTCTTTCTTTTTCTTCAAAACCCCAATCTGCTCACGCTCACGATCCATGATAGTTGAAGAGATTGATTTTGATCCCTTACAAAGCAGTATCCCCTTCGCTTTCTAGTTTTAGTTTGAGGATGAAATCAGTCTCAATCCATGGTTAGGGTTTGTTGATGGATACCTTATAAGTTGCATTTTAGCACACTGTCACGATCATGATCCATCTCTAGGATTGATGCTGTCTGTTGATTTATTTTGCAGTCTTCTTTTTCTGACTTGAATTTTCATATATGAACCTCATTGTGAGAGGTGTGCAGGAAGGAGCAATTCATCTGTTGTGCACTGTTATATCTTCCTTTCCTGCTACACTTCAGCGTCATCATGAAAGTGTAAGTTCCATGATTCTTCATCCTGGGATAGCCAGGTAGCATTTTTAACTGGAAAGCAATTGCAAAAGCATATTTTTCTGGCAGGATAACGTGTTGTGATATAATGATGCCAGTACTTTCATAGGTTGAAGCTGCTATTACATCAAAAATATTTTCGGGAAAATTCAGTATAAATTTGATGAAGGTATCTCCTTCCTTCCTTTCTCTAACTGTCTCTGGGATCTGATAAGATAAGCAGATCAGGGCATGACATGAACACAATAACTTCTGTTTAATTTTCACCATCCAGAAGCTAGCTCATTGTCTAGCACTGCTTCCCAAATCAAAGGGAGATGAAGATAGCTGGATTTCAGCAATGAGGAAGGTTCTGTTATTGGTAAATGGTTACCTAACTGAAATCTTCACTGGTCTAGAGGAAGGTATGTGCTAATGCCTTCTTGGTTGAGCTTTTGCTGGTCTCAGTGATGGTAAGTGGAAAATGTGCTTGCACATGTTGCAGAAACAAAATGGGATGAAGCTGTTAGATTATTGGTTCCGCCAGGAGAAGTTCCACCACCTTCTTTATGGGGCCAAAAGTTGTTAGAGGATACCTCAGACAAGGAAAGAAAGAGATCCAAGCTGTGTAGTATCTCTATGTTCATGCTTAGCTGTTGTGAAATGCTTACAAATTCATATCCTGTCCAGGTACTGTTGTGTGCTTGATGACTATTATGACATATTTTTATTCATAAGAGGAATTCTTAATTGTTGCTTATTTAAATCTGAAACTGGGCATGGAAATAAATCAATCTTGTATGTTTGATTAACAGGTTTCAGTGCCTGTTCGCTCATTACTGGCCCTTGTTGAGAGAGTGCTGATGGTCAATGGCTCATTGTCACCAACCACATCATCCTTTTTGATTTTAGCAGAACAAGAGTTCATTTGCTCTGAACTTCCAGTTTTGCACTCCTATGCTTTGGAACTTCTTGCTTCAGTCATAAAGGGGATTCGCAGGTAAACAAAGTATTTTCTCATCACTATTTGGAGGAACTGTGCTGTATTTTGTAACGGGTCTACAATTGTGTTTATATCACAACAGATTTGGCAAACCTATGTACTGTTCTTTGTGGGCAAGTTGTAGGGAA